ATGGACTCTGGTCAATTTATCTCTTATTGAATTTACTGAAAGAAAACGTCAAGATTTTTACTATTATCATATAAAAAAGCAACTCATTCACCAAAATAAAGTTTTGCTTTTTCAACCCTCAGATGTGTTGAATTTGTTTCATAGGTAGAGGATAAGTTCAAATTTAACATTTCTTTAATTTTCAGTTTTCAATTATATGTTGTGACAACGCTGCCACAAACTGGCTGGAAATGCACCGACATCTCGTTAAAAATACCCTATTTAGTCGCCACAAAGACAGCTGGAAATGTCATGACCTCTCATTCAAAAACATCCGGTTTGGTCCCCATAAACATGTCTGGACACATCCCAATATCTCCTTAAAAAATATCTGATATGGTCTCCAAAAACGGGGCTGGAAATGTCCTGACCTCTTCCAAAAAAATACCCAGTTTGGCGACCACAAACACGGCTGGAAAGGTCTCACCGTCTAGTAAAAGAAATATCATGTTTGGTTGCCATAAACATGGCTAGAGATATACAGACATCTCCTGAAACAAATACCTAGTTTGATCCCTATAAACAGGGCTGGAAATGTCCCAACCTCTCAATAAAAAATGCCCAGTATGGGTGCCAAAAACACAGCTGGAAATGTCCTGACCTCTTGTTAAAAAATATCTGGTTTGGTAACCACAAATGTGTCTGGACACGTCCCAACATCTCCTTAAAATATCCTTGGTATGGTCTCCAAAAACAGGGCTGGAAATGTCCTGACCTCTTTTTAAAAACTACCCGGTTTGTTTGCCACAAACAAGGCCGGAAATGCCCCAGCGTGTTGTTAAAAAATACCCAATTTGGCCACTACAAACAGCTGGAAAGGTCTCACCGTCTGGTAAAAGAAATACCCTGTTTGGTTCCCACAAACATGGCTAGAGATATAAAGACGTCTTGTTAAAAAAAATACTGGGTTTGACCCTCATAAACAGGGCTGGAAATGTCCCAACCTATCAATAAAAAATGCCCAGTGTGGTCGCCAAAAACACAGCTGGAAATGTCCTGATCTCTTGTTAAAAGATATCCGGTTTGGTCACCACAAACAAGTCTGGACACATCCCAACATCTTCTGGTCACCAAAAACAGGGCTGTAAATGTCCTGACCTCTTCTAAAAAAATACCCGGTTTGGTCGCCACAAACAGCTGGAAATGTCCTGACCTCTTATCAAAAAATCAACATCAGCATCAAAAATACCTAGTTTGGTTGCCACAAACACGACTGGAAAAGTCCCAACCTCTTGTTAAAAACTACCCAGTTTGATTGCCACAAACATGGCTGGAAATGCCCCAGCGTGTTGTTGAAAAATACCCAATTTGGCCACTACAAACAGCTGGAAAGGTCTCACCGTCTGGTAAAAGAAATACCCTGTTTGGTTGCCACAAACATGTCGAGAGATATACAGACATCTCGTTGAAAAAATACCGGGTTTGGTCCCCAAAAACTCAGCTGGAAATATCCTAACCTCTCAATAAAAAATACCCAGTATGGTCGCCAAAAACACGTCTGGACACATCCCAACATCTCCTTAAAAAATACCTGGTATGGTCGCCAAAAACAGCTGGAAATGTCCTGACCTCTTGAAAAAAAAATACTTGGTTTTGTCACCACAAATATTAAAAATAGCTGCTTTGGTCGCCACAAACATGGCTGGAAGGGTCCCGATGCCTTGTTACAAATACCTAGTTTGACTGCCACAAACAACTGAAAATGTCCCAATCTCTCAATAAAAAATACCCAGTATGGGTGCCAAAAACACAGCTGGAAATGTCCTGACCTCTTGTTAAAAAATATCTGGTTTGGTAACCATAAAAATGTGTCTGGACACATCCCAACATCTCCTTAAAAAATACCTGGTATGGTCTCCAAAAACAGGGCTGGAAAAGTCCTGACCCCTTTAAAAAATACCCAGTTTGGTTGCCACAAACACGACTGGAAAAGTCCCAATATCTTGTTAAAAAAAAACTACATTCAGTCGCCACAAAAAGGCTACAAATGTCCTAATGTCTTGTTAAAAAATACCTGCTTTGGTTGCCACAATCATGGCTGGAAGGGCCCCGACGCCTTGTTACAATACCCAGTTTGACTGCCACAAACAACTGAAAATGTCCCAACCTCTTGCTGAAAACTACCCAGTTAAGTTGACACAAACACGACTGGAAATGCTGCTGTCTCCTGAGAAGAAACTCATATCCATCTAATCTGAACTACATCACTTTAGAAATGTTGATATGATACATACGGCAACATGTAAGCTAAAGCAAGGTCAGGCCAGGATGAATCGGAGAATGTGAAAACTGAAGATCCAAAAAAGAAATTTAGGCAAAAAGTAAGTGGCCTCCAAATTTCCAAAATGTCTCTTCTTTGTTAAATGATGTGTTTTACATTGCTACAACACCGACCACTGAAGAGGCCTCGTCTGCTCACTCATTATCTCTTCATGTGACTGAAAACACTTTGTGACTGAGATGATTTCACCACAGGGGGGAAGTGAGCGCCTGCCGAGCTGAAACAGATAAGGTCGGCCTCCCGGGTGTTAGGTAAACATCAGGTGCTGGAGGCTACAAAGACAAAGAGACATACCTTTCCACTAAATAAAAGACCTGAGAGGAGCAGCAGGTGTTCTGCGCTCGCCTTTTCATTCAGACTTCACTTCAATCCTGTGAGAAAGTCTCAGATCTTCAGTCTCCAGACGGTAGATGTTTGAAACACTGTGCAACACACTGCAGCAGTCAGGGAACACATTTTATCAACTTTTAACATCTTATCAACTTTACTGAGAGTAAAAGGTCGGAGGTGCCCTTATAGTTTAGTGATTCCCTGATTCATTCGACTCAAACCCTGCTTCAACATTTCTAGTGATGTAGTTCAGATTGCATACATATGAGCTCAGATGGGGTTATGGTGGATGGTGTAAGACTGAGGTGAGACAGCCGTGTTTGTGGTGATAAAACCGGGTATTTTTTAACAGGAGGTTGGGACATTTTTAGTTGTTTGTGGTGACCAAACCAGATATTTTTTTGACAAGTGATCCACACACTTCCAGTCGTGTTTTTGGCAACTTTACTGGGTATTATTTAATTCATCCAATCCAAATCCGAAGGTGTTTGTGGTGACCAAAGCATGTATTTTTTGACGAGAGGTCAGGACATTTCCAGCCGTGTTTGCAACAATCAAAACAGGTATTTTTGACCAGAGTTTAGGAAATTTCCAGCCATGTTTTTAGTGACCAAACCGGGTGTTTTTTGACAAGAGGTCAGGACATTTCCATCTGTGTTTGCGGCAATCAAAGGCGGTATTTTTTGACGAGAGGTTGGGACATTTCCAGCCATGTTTGTTGCAACCATACTGGGTATTTCTTCATGAGACATCTGGACATTTCCATCCGTGTCTGTGGTGACCAAATTGGGTATTTTTTAATGAGACATCTGGACGTTTCCAAATGTGTTTGTGGCAATGGCACTAGATATTATCAAACGACACACCAGGACATTTCCAGCTGTGACTGTAACGACCAAAACAGGTATTTTTTTGACAAGAGTTTAGGACATTTCCAGCCGTGTTTGTCGTGATTATACTGTGTATCTCTTAATGAGACATCTGGACATTACCAAACATGTTTGTGGTGACCAAACTGGGTATTTTTTTAATGAGAGGTGGGAACATTTCCAGCTGTGTTTGTGGCGACCATACTGGGTATTTCTTTATGAGACATCTGGACATTTCCAAACATGTTTGTGGTGAGCAAACTGGGTATTTTTTGACAAGACGTCAGGACATTTCCAGCTGTGTTTGCAGCAATCAAAACAGGTATTTTTGACCAGAGTTTAGGACATTTCCAGCTGTGTTTTTAGTGACCAAACCGGGTGTTTTTTGACAAGAGGTCAGGACATTTCCATCTGTGTTTGCGGCAATCAAAGGCGGTATTTTTTGACGAGAGGTTGGGACATTTCCAGCCATGTTTGTTGCAACCATACTGGATATTTCTTCATGAGACATCTGGACATTTTCAGCTGTGTTTGTGGCACCCACCCAAATGTTCCAATGTCTTTATTAAGACATCAGGACATGTCTAGCCATGTTTGTGGTGACAAAGCTGGATTTTTGATTTTTTTTTTTTTTTTAAACCAGCTGTTGATACATGTCCAATCGTGTTTATGTCTCAGTGTCTGGTAGAAAAATATGTAGCTTGATTGCAACAAACATGGCTGAATTTTTTTGTTAAAAAAATGCCTGGTTTGGTCAAGTGAATATGAAATTAATTATGTTTTAATCTTCACTGCTTCAATGTGTTTAAAAATAAACTTAAAAAAAGTTGCATTTAAGTTTATCTACTAATTTGCTGATGATAAAATACTACATAAACAAAGTAAAGACAGGTTTACTGAATAAACCTAAATAAAGCCTGTCACACACATGTCCTGCACTGTTAATAATTAATTTCATGTGCATCATTTTATCCTCATGTTTCTGTAAATTAAAACCTGACTGGAGGCTCACTTCCTCTACAGCTGCTGACATGCTGTGAGTATAAGTAACATACCGAGTACAAATAGCTGCGCAGTACTAAGTGTATACACAAAGTATATAAAGTCTGCTGCACAAATGTCTCAACAGTCCCGAGTGAAAGTTTTTTTTTTTGTTTGCTTTTGCATCAAATTGCTGTTTGTTCCTCGGCTTGCTGATGAAAGTGATTTGAAGTCCGACATGTGGCTTCAGATGATGAGAGGGTTGGATTGTAGAGATGTCAACATGTGGCACATGTGTCTCTGCTGATTTTCATCTGACGTTATGAGTTTCATTTTTCTGGCTCACTTTTACGCACGGATGTGGCGCTTCCCAGCAGTGACTCCAAACACTTCTTGAAGTTGAGAAGTGTTTGTAAACCGTGCTGAAGCCTTGGAGACGCTGCTGAGAGGATTTCAGTTTCCATTAGGACGCTTAGGATGGATCATCTATCGATTTTATGCACGTGATGCGTTGATGGAGAGACCGAGGACCCACCTATAGGAGCAGACTGTGCCTCCTCCCTCCCTGCTCTTCTGTGGTGATCTTACGCACAGGGGAGCCGCAGTGTGCAGCGAGCGGAGCGCAAATTTAAGTCTCTAATTTCCACAACAGGAGCGGGTGGATAAGTGCAGTTTGCGCCACTTTCGCACCGTTTTTCCAAACTCCCAATGGGAACCTGAAACCTGCCTGCCGCATCTCTCAAACACGGAGCCGCAGAAATGGACTGTTGCGCATTTGGATATTTACGCATCGCGTTGCTGTGGGTCGTGCAACTAGGAGCGCTTGCACAACATGGTAGGTGGAACTTTCTGTGGCTTACGAGCATCCTAAATCCTTTTGTGTCCATTATGATTTTCAAATGGTGCCCAGCTGCCATGACGCACATGGTTTTACCCACAAGACATGAACTAGATGATGTCTAATGCAACCCAGACTCACGTTTCAAATGATTATATCTGTGAATACAATGCAGGAAAAAGGAACTTGCTGCGTGACTTGGCCTGCGAGGCTGCATTCCTATCACTCAGCAGGTCCAGAGGTTAGATGGACCTTCAGAGACAGAGAGGAGATCACACAAGGGCAAAGGACAAAGCTTTGCTCGAAGAGAAATAAATGTTTCAGCTGAATGACACGCAGTTTCTGTCGGGTTATAATCACAGAGAGAAGGAAGCAGCCCTTATCTGACCACTCATTTTGGTTCCCATTATCAAGAAACAAGCAGCTACAGTCAGGACTTACTGAGGCAAAAGTGCAGTAAAAGCAGCATGAAGAGAAATAAAAGTAACAGTGGAGTTATAAATCAGAGAGCAGCCCTCATAACGATGCAGCTGGAACCAACTCCCTACAGTAAACTGCTTCATTCTGCCTCTTCACTGTCCCATCATGCCTTTCTCTTTCTGATATGAGCTGCTCTTGTTTGACTATAACATAACAGTGTTGGTCGGACCAACATGCCACCCCGTCCTCCATCGCGCTCACATCTCTGTCTCCAGGGTGTCCAGCAGCACATCAAAGCACACACTCGTAAACTTTAAGGCAGGCCATCGTAAAATGTAACACTGAGGGTCCTTGCAGAGCTTTGCGATGAGAATACCAGGCATTTCTGAGCCAAAACAAAGTCTGCTGTAACTCCAGGACACACATTTGTCTGGTTGACGAAAAGAATCAAACACTGAATGGCTTCAGTTGTTCATCAATAGACATTTTCTGGATGTCACACAAAAAACAAAAAACTGGAGCGCATTTGTTCGTGAATAGCATTGTGTCCAACACGTTCTCATCCCAAGTCGTTACATATCGCTGCTTTGTCAGTGGACTGTCACATCTACGTATTACGTGCTAGGTATCCTCCTGAGTCCGCTGTTGTCCCTTAAGGATGCCGCAACGAACAGCGCGGACATCAACACAAGCACATGGTTAGGTTTAGAAAAAACATCATGGTTTGACTCAACATTGAGACAGGAAGCAAACACAAAGCTCCTGGGTGAAAGTCCAGGGTTTGTTGGACCCATCCACCACACCCATTGACGACAGCTCCTTATAGTGCGTCTTTACCAGCACGGTTTCAAACTGACACCATCCAGCAGAGTATCATACCGCCACAAAAGGTGCCATCCGGCCACGTCATGATGTGATACACTTTATTGTCCCCCGAGGAAAATTCAGGGGTCTTCAATGTTTTCAGGCTAAGGACCCCTTGGCCCAAAGACAGACAGCAGGGACCCCTACTACATATATTTTTTAAAAAAGAGTTGCACTTGAGATATTTCTGAATATTTTTCGGGTCTTCTCTTGTTTGCCTAGCTGCTAACTGCAGCAGTTGTAGCATTGCTAGGTGCGTTAGCCTCACCCTCTGCACTTTCAGTGGTGGTTTCTACGGTGGACGGTGTGTCAGTGTCTGTTAAAAAATTATGAAACAATCTATTGTGGAGTTACATCTGCGTTACAAACTGATGCCACCCACTGGCATATCATGCCACTGCAACAAGAGTAAAATTAATAGGTCCTACACCAACCTGATCTCACTCCGAAGTAGGGCTGCAACGATTAGTCGACTAATCGATGACTAATCGACTATTAAAATAATCTGTGACTATTTCAGTAGTCGTCTAATTGGTTTGAGTCATTTTCCATAGAAAAGTACTATGAAGTACCCAAAATACTCTTACTGCATCTTCTTACGTTCAAATATTGGCAGCTTTACACACTCTCCCATGACGGTGAACTAAAACCCTTTGGCGTGAGTACGAAACAAGACATTAGATGACATCATTTTGAGGTTTGGGAGAGACAGACCGACATTTTTCAACATTTTAACACATTTTTCGATAAAATGATTAGTCGACTAATCCAAGAAATAATTGACAGATTAGTCGACAGTGACTACTGTATGCAAACTGTGCATTTCCTGTGAAAAAAAAAGTGTATCTTGAAAACAGACAACGCATGTAACAGGCTGAAGTTGTACGGCATCCATTATCTTAACAACCACCGCACCTTGGGTACCTGGATGTGGAAAGTCCATGACCAAACATCGAGATGTGACGAGGTCGGAGTGAGAATCCTCTCTCCCTACATGCTTTATCCAGAGGAAGTGCTCTACCTTGGTCATGTCTATCCCCGGATTTGTCAGAAACTCCCACAGGATTTCATGTCCCATTTTTTAGCTGATCATTTCATTTTAATCATTTAACTGGACTTTACCACAGTGTTGTCGCACCACAAAACAGCGAGACAAGAATATTTTAAAGTGGCTTGCCAGAGTTTCCTAAATCTCGGGATACTATCTAGCCACGACCTTGTGCAACATCTTTACCACCATGTATACTCCATATCACACCAACATGGTGTTTTCAGCTGGGAAAAAATGCTTCGGTGGACACATGGTCTTTTAAAAGTGACACCAGCGACTGTCCAACCAATGAGACTTTGATCAGACGAGCGCGGATTGACCAAACAATCGACCAACTGACCAGAAGGTGTCAACCCTACAATAGTAGTTGATACATTTCAGTAAAATACAAATATGTCAGCTTTCATGGTGGCACAAAGTCCGTTGGATTCATCCTGTATGGAACATGAATGTCTGGACAAAATGTCGTGGTAATCCATCGAAGGCTTGTTGAGATATTTTAGTCTGGACCAAATTGATCAAACGGCTGCTAGCATGGTGAAAACACAAATGTTGGGTAGTAGTCGCCGCCTACCTCACTCCTGTGGAGCCCTTTAACTTAATTTATCTTGTGTAGGGTTTCATTTGAGAGCTTTTGTGTCTCGCAGTGGTACAAATGCGGCTTTTCCGCCTTGTCAAGAAAGAATTTGGCATCAAAGAAAACCTTCTCTGTCACTACTGGTTATTAAAAACCCATGTTCTCCAAACTCTGCTCTTAAATTCTACCACAGAGATGCTTGAATGATTAGTGATAATGAGTCTTATTTTATTTAAGCAGATCTCATCCAGACCCATGACCCCGTCTGTGTCCGTCTGACTGTAGTTTCTGTTTTCGCAGTGAGTGAGAGACCCTCTGGGAAAGAGACCGGTAACCTCAGTTGTGTTAACACCACGCTCTCCCAAATTAATCTTCTTTCCTGAGAAACTGGAGAATTCCCTGCAGAGTCGCTGCACATCTGGGCTGCTGAGGGCCTCCCTCCCAGTGGGATCTCCTCCCCCCGGGGGCCGCTTCATTAGCTCACCGCCCCCCGCCCTCTCCCAACCCCAGTCCCCCTCCGGCTCTGTAAACTCATTAAGCTGCCAATAGGAACAGTTTAGCCAGCAGGCAAAGTCTCGCCAATTGTCCTCTTGCCTCAGAACCTGGTTGTTTGGACAACCTGTGACCTCGCATCTTGTCACTGGAGCTTCCAGACGAGGTGAACACGCAGACAGGCGGTGATGTAAACAAGAGCATTTGCTTTCAAGGGGCTGTCAACGTGAAGACCAGCCTGTAAGACCTTGTTTAGGTTTGGGATCAGCGGCAGTAACTTCGCCCCGTCCATTCAAGGCTTTGACGCTCTCAAGACATCCTAAATACCCAGAATGTTTGTTTTCCTTTATGTGACTTTACTCAGCCGCCACAATCAAACTCAAACACAGAAAAGGGGACAACGTGAAAGAACAGCCCATCCTTTTTAGTGGCAGTTTGTTAAGAAAGGCCTCTGTTGATGACTTTGACCCATTTCACTTGACAGATGTGGAGCTGTTGAGAGTGTGCCAGTGTGGAAAACTACATGTTCTGCTCAAATAATTCTCCCGGTTGTTTCAGCCTGCAGCTGCAGGCGGTGTTCAGAGGCCAGTCATGCGCCATTGGCTTTAGCGTCCTTTCCTGGGGCGAGTTTAGAGAGGCGAGAGGCTCACAGGAATGTCTGTTGTTCTTAGTAATTTAGATAACCTCTGGGGGTGAAATGATCCTTCCTGCTCACCTCCTCAATGCTCACTGACACTTTAAAGAGCGAACCGTACATGTGATTCAGTCACCTTTTCCATGCTTCCATTTCCTGTTATTCATGAAGTTCCTCAACAGCGAATCAATAATGTATGATGGTTACAGGTCGATAAACATACGACTGAAGACACTCAAGATGTATAGTGTTAAAATATGCTCAGTTAACTCCTTTATCCAAGACTTTAGTTCCAGTACAGAGTACAATTGTGCTTTAATTTGTGTTGAGGTTTTAAGAGGATCGGTTCGGTTGCGCCAACCAAACTAAGACTCAACCTGGACTCTAGTTTTCTATGTTTTCGTGTCTAAGTGACGAATGGGAACAAGTTTTTAAACTGGTCCAGTATTGTGAAGTGTCAATGTACGTCCACTAAAAATGTTTGCTTTTGTCACTGACAGGCTCAGATTGTTATTCTAAGTGTCTGACAACATCATAGAAAGGATCCCGGCAGAGATAGCCCTGTGTGTTGAAGAGTAATGTCCTCTTTGTTTAACAAGAAACAGCCCCGAAATTGCTATCGACAAACCCGCTAGACTCCATTTACAGTAATTTTATAATCTTTTAAAGTCGACAGAAACACAATAAAACTCACAAAAATAGTCTTGGCAGCATGGTGAAGCAGTGGTTAGCATTGTTGATTAACAGCAAGAGGGTTCCTGGTTTGAACCGGGGGTTGGGGTTCGAACCCTTGTCAGCGTGGTCCAAAGACATGCAGGTTAACTGGTGACTCTAAATTAACTGTAGGTGTGAATGGTTGTCTGTCTCTATAGCCCTTTTAAACAGGAGTTGTGCAAATTTGCAGGAAAGCCCAATCAGTATTTATTCAGCATTGGCAGTATAAAAACAAAATCGGGGAGTGCAGCAAAATGCCGCCTACCTACTTTTGTTTATACAGAATGAGCCTTTTTCGGGGCAATGGGGGGCGTGAGCAAGTAACAAAACGTGTAGCTCAGCGTGTGACGTAAACAGTGACGTGGGAGGGAAGCCGCGGCTGGTCAGACGACACTTCTCTCGTAAGTCGGCCCGTTCTTCACCGTCCCCGTCATCTGACGGTTAATGGCCTCTTTGTTTGCGAGGACAAGGAGGGCGCGCAATTCCTTGTCTCCCCAGTTGCTCATCTTTACAGTGTGTCAGGTTTGTGTTTCCCTCTTGCTACTAGCTGCTCGCTAAATCCTGCTATCAGCTGTTTCCTGTTTATCCACCGCCAGTGGCTCGCACGTGCGGCGTCATCAACAGCTCCTCCCACAAGTCTTCAACAGCCCCTCCCGTTGCGGAAGGTCGCCTCGATCTGTTTAAACTAAAAAGGTTCCACCAATATGTCTACCCTACGAGGTGGAAAATTGGGCACCTCGGATCAACTCGCCAATCCGGCTCTGTGTGTCTAAACGCTCGCAGCTTGCCGGCAAAACGGCCCAACATTCGCCGAAAATCTGGCAGTGTAAAAGGGGCTTATGAGTCAGCCCTGTGATAGTCTGGTGACCTGTCCAGGGTGAACCCTGCCTCTTACCCAGTGTCAGCTGGAAAAGGCTCCAGCCCCCCCCTTGACCCTTAACAGGATAAGTGGCTCAGCAGCTCTGGCTTGGTCCGAGTGAACTCTTAACTCTCCCAGTTAGATGTGAAGATATCACAAACTAGCTGCAGTGACATCACCTACTGGTTTTGTATTGCCGTACTGAAGCCATTTCAGCCGTCGCCACATTCATTTTTTGGAGCCAGAAGTGACCATACTCTGACGAGAGGATGGAGTTGTGGAGGAGCGTGGGGTGGATCTGACTCAGGGTCTGTAGGGACGCTACAAGCAGTCCTGCCCTTTGATACATGCATATAATTAAGTCTCAATAAAAAGTTCACGATTGGGTTATTATCGCAATATTTTTGTGTGGCAATATCATATCGATACACTGTTTGTTATATAAATAATCAATATTACAGGTACAAATTAAACTTTTTGTCGCCTAATAGAATAATAACATCAGAAGTTAAAAATACTTTTGGGGACATAATTTGCAGTTGAAAAAAGGTGATGAATCCCAATATTTGTTAGTGTGATACTCAGCATATTGCAACATGTTAAAAACCACAATAATGTATCGTGACTTATGTATTGTGATAACATTGTGTTATGGGGCCTCTGGTGATGCCCGACTCTTTGAGTTATATAAAAATTCACCCCAACACAGTTGTCATGAGTGCTGACATTAGCTATGGAAACTGTACGAGGCTGTAAACATGTTTATTTCTGCTGTAAAGTTGGGCATTTTAACACGGGCGTCTATGGGGATCGACTCACTTTTGGAGCTAGCCTCAAGTGCCCATTAGAGGAACTGCAGGTTTTGGCACTTCTGTATTGGCTCCATTTTTGGGGGGTGCCACCTAGAAAATGTGCTGGCCCTATACATGTTGAAATTACAGTTTATGTAATGGAGTCTAGTGGGTTTGATGATGGCGATTTCGGGTTTATTTCTGGTTAAACAAAGAGGATCTTACTCTTTAACTAAAAGGTCTGTCTCTGTAGGGATCTTTCGCATAATGTTGTCAGACAAATTGCCACTGTACCTTACGCCGCAGTGTGATGTGCACCTCCCCAGAAATGTAACCACGCGTCATGGTGACGCAGACCTCCTGTCTGTCTCTGTAAGCTGAAACCATTTCCCTCAGTGGAAACAAAGATATAATTTACTTTAATAACACAGATAAGAAAAAAAAAAATGTGAAGACAATAAAACCTCCACTAAAATAGCATTTTAAGTCTTGTGTGTGATTTATCCTGGCTTCATATGAGCAGAGGAAAAGTCCTCTAGCTGCTAGGCTAATTTATACAATGTAAAATGCCATAGGCTTGTGCTAATAACGTTAGCATGTTGTATTTGTTTGGAAAACGACAGTTGTTTTGTCAGTGAACCTTGTGAGTTGTAATGGAGCCAAATTTTGTAACGCTACCTTTGTTAAATGTTGCTGTTGTCCCTGGTTTTATATGAGAAGAGGAAAAGATTGCTAGCTGCTAGGCTAATTTACACAATGTAAAATGCCATAGGCTTGTGCTAATAACGTTAGCATGTTGTATTTGTTTGGAAAACGTGTTTAGTATAAGACAGTTGTTTTGTCAGTGAACCTTGTGAGTTGTAATGGAGCCAAATTTTGTAACGTCACCTTTGTTAAATGTTGCTGTTGTCTCTGGCTTCATATGAGTAGAGGAAAAGCCTGCTAGCTGCTAGGCTACTACTATACAATGTAAAACGCCATAGACTTGTGCTAATAAAGTTAGCATGTTGTATTTGTACTAGACCAATTTCAAAAATTGTTGTTCCCATTCCTCACTTAGACAAAAACATGTGGAAGTAGGGTAGAGGTTGGAAAACACTGAACTGACCCTTTAAAAATTAACTTTTATTTGAGCAAATAAAAGCAGGATTGAAACTCAGGTCACTATTTTTAAAGTTGAGGGAAAATACTGTTAAGTGGACCTTAATTCTCTATCCAAGGCCAAGAATAAACTTCCACACTCCAGTTTAATAGTGGGAAAGAGACAACTTCTCAGCCCAGCCAAGGACAGTCAGCCCTTGTTTGCCGTTTCCCCTGATGACACAAGTTGCCTTTGTTTTGTCTATCTTTATCACGTCTGTCCTCTCAGTGCCGTCTTGTTCACAACCACACAGCAGGACTCAGTCACAGATAAAGACATGACTCCGGGGTAAACCTGCTCATCTGATCTCAGCCTGAGATTCTTCAGTTTTCATTTCCTCTCGAGGAGATTTGGGGTTGGAAAATGTTCAGCAGAGGCAAGCATCCAAAGAGATTAAAGCTCTCCAAAAGTGGAAAATTATTTTAAGAGGTTTTAAAGCCGGGCCACAGAAACATTTAGTGTCTGTGTCTCAGTCTGAACAATCATTTTTCTCCCCTGATCCTTTTTCCTTAAACCAACTTTAAACACAGAAAAACATCTGCTAAATTAAAGTGTAATTTCCACCGTCCTTGTTCTTCACATCTCAGCTCCAGAGTGTTACCCAGGAGGTCATCGGACTTTGCGTAATCCCTATCGCAGCGTCGACTTTGACTCCACGGAGATCCAGAACACGGCCATCCAGGACCTGATCTGTGACCACTCGCTGTCGCCGGGCTGGTACAGATTCAAGATCAACAACAAGCCGGCGGAGATGCCGACCACCTGCGTTGAGGTAAGACAGCAAAAATACTGGTTGTGTTTTCATCTTTGCACAACGTCCTGTGTCTCTGCTCTGACTGCCTGATTGTCAAAATCCTCAAATAAAATCTCTGCCAAAAAAATAGCATCAAACATCCTCTCCCTTGGCAAACATCTAGCATCCAGCAAGTTTAATGAGCACCTGCAGCCCAGGTGGAGGGTATAATAACCCCCTCACTACAGGTAATGACTGTTTCTGTTGACGCCCGCACCGCAGATGAACCGCTGTGGTACACAGGCTCCGGTGTGGCTGTCACTGAAGGATGCTTCCCTGCCCCGGCCTGGCGAGGTCCGCCAGCTCTCCGCCTGCGCCACCTGGCAGTTCTTCCAAGGCAGCACCAAGGACTGCTGCCTCTTCCGCATCCCCATCACGGTGCGGAACTGCGGCGAGTTCCTGCTGTACCACCTGCAGCCCACGCAGGGGTGCATGGGATACTGCGCCAAAGGTGAGCAGAATCTGAGCTGACCTTAAAAGGGACAGTTCACCCCAAAATCAAAAACACATATTGTTCCTCTTCCCTCTTGTGCTGTTTATCAGTGTAGATTATTCTGGTGTGAGTTGCAGAGTGTTGGAGATATCAACCGCAGAGATGTCTGCCTTCTCTAGATGACACCCAGCTTGTGGTGCTCAAAGCGCCAAAAAAATACATTTAAAAAAACTCAACATCAATGTCTCTTCCCAGAAATCATGACCCAGTTACTCAAGATAATCCACAGACCTTGTTGTGAGAAGTGTCATGTAGGAACTATTTTCTTTGTACTGAACACCACCTGCCTACTGTATCACCGAGCAGAAGGAAGCGTGCATCTACTCACAGACGAGAGGCTTGTGCTCGTGACAGTGCCAGATGTAAACATTAATGGCGTCCTTCTCGGCTAAACTGTAACGTTAGCTAGCTCAGTGATGCTGGGTGAGTTAGCAGTAGATTAGTCTCGCCACCAGACAATCAGAGATCTCCGCCTTCTGATAATCTGGGGACACTCCTTTCTAAAGTGTGTTTAATACACCGGCGAAAACGGCCGGCAACAAAGCAACGCCTCTTGCATTTTTGAAAAGGACACGCCTTCTCAGAAATGTGCGCTCCCCCTTTTCTCGTCCGCAAGGAAACAAACGCACAGAGAGCTTGAAAATGGATGCCGAGAGATTTAACTCCATTTTATCAAACGTGTGCTCATCCGTGAAGAAAATATTTTTTCCAGCGGATGTCTTAGTTACAACATGATTGAGCTAACTGGAGTAGTTTCATGTCGTATCCGACAACAGGAGGCTTTTAACAGATGACGTCCTGATGTTAGCTTTGTTGCTAGTGTTAGCTGTCCCTGTCAGCTGCAGCCACTGATGCTTTCTAGACATCGTGATTTCCCAAAACTGAATAAATACCACACATAGCAACACAAAACTGCTTTGCTAGCTCAATCATGTTGTAACTAAGATATCCGCTGGAAAAGATATTTTTTTCACGGATCGTTTAATGAGTTATTACCTATTACAGACACCGCTAACGGCTAACAGGGCTAACGGCTAACGGTTAGCCCAGCTAAACGTGCACACAGAAATAGCAATGTTTGTTCAATCATTGTGTTGATAGACTTTACAAACATCAGATTAGTCCAAACGGTGATACAGTGATGTGAAAAATGTGATACATAGGCTATATATATATATATATACATATATGTATATATGTATACATATATATATATATATATATATAGCTAAAAACTCTGCTGGTTTTCTACCCGAAGTATTTGTAAACAAGGCGATTCCCTCTAACGTTATAGTCCGGCTGGACGGATGAGTCATGATCTTGTAAAAGATTATGTTTGTTTCTTTTAGTTGGCGAGAATGTGTCGCCACAAACGCGACAAACATCCACTAACTCTGACTGCGTTTTCTGCAAGCGCAGCTGAGCCATTTTGTACCGCTACACCGCTACCGCTTTCCAGTGGGACTGTGTTTACAAGCACAAGAGTTCAGCGAGCCACCAAAGGACCGCCCTGCAGATTTACTATTGGTTCTGCAACGTAGGGAGTTTTTTTAAACTCTGAAATTGTATCCGCCCATCTAAACACAAAATCAGGGAGAAAGTCATCAGTCTTTAGTTAAGCAAAGCGTCTAAAGACTGACTTGTGAGTCTACCAGTAGATGCACACTTCCTTCTGCGGAGTGATATGGTTGGTGAGTGCAGTTCAATAGAAATAAAAGGTTCCAACCACCCACACATTTTCACTCCCAACTCGTCCACTACTGATACTTGGCCAGTGGCCCTACACGTCAAACTATGACGCTCTAGGTACCCCTTTAGCACTATTGACCTTATGTACTTAACGTAAAGTTAAGCACTTAGCATAGGTTAGGTTTAGGAAAAGAAATACGTTGACGATGTACCTTAAAATAACTCAAAGTTCACACGGTTCTGAACATCGGTCGGTCCCCCACCCCAACCTGTCTCCTTATCGTTTCCCTCTTTAGTCTTTACTTCTCTCAGCGCATTGGTAACATGATCGCAGCCTTCCAAAATACATGGGTTATACCCAAATCACTTGCTTATGATAACGTAGGATTTGTACAAATTTTTCGGCATTACTTTTAGTAAACAAAAAAAAACAGTGCAAACATTGCAAGAGAACAGCCTGGCTTGTGACAGTGAGCGATGTAAACATTAATGGCGTCCTCCTCTGCTGAGCTGTAACGTTAGCTCGGTGAGCTAGCAGTAGATGCACTCTTCCTTCTGCGTGATGATAAGGTTGGCGGTTGTAGTTTGGTAGAAAGAAAATAGTTCTGTGGATCTGTGGGTTATCTTGAGAAAACGAGTCAGGATTTCTGGAAAGAGAGAAAGGTAGAGAGAGAGAGATTTTTTTTTGTTTGGGGGTGAACATGTTTTTAAGTGCTTTGTGCGCTTGGTAAAAGTCAAAGGTCACACATTTCCTGCAGTGATTTTTAAAGTTGACAAAGAGAGGAATTTTGAGGCCAATACCTATATTGATATTGAGAGATTTAAAAATCTGGGACGGGTTGCACAAAACACCTTAAGTTTTCTCCTCGAGTATGACACTTGACACTTTCTCCTTAGCTGAGGGACTTACAAATTGCAAAGAATTCCTTTCATTTATCATCTTTCAATTCAGTCATGTTGTAGTTAAGATAGAGTCAGGGGTACCTTAAGGGTTTTCTCTTCTTTTACCTTGCTTTGGTTGCTAAGGTCTTTTGTGCAACCGTCTGGGGACTCCTTAAGTATAGGACCAAGACAAGATGAAAACCATGAATACTTAAGTGAACATTTTAAGAATACCTTCTTAAACGGTTTTGTGCAACCGATTTTAATGTGAGGAAATCTTAACTATGGCTTTAAGGAAAATCTTATCTTAAGGTGTTTTGCAGCTGACCCCTGATGAATATATACAATATTTGTGCATATTTGTAATGATGAGAAGAGCTCTCATGTTTCAGTCACTCCAGAGTTAGGACCCAGGCTCTGCCCACCAGGTGAGGTCGAAGTCAACGGCCGATGCAAAGGTGAGACTTTCTGTTGGTTTCTACTTGGGATATATTTCATATTTATACCAATATTGAAACAAATGACATCAAATTTATTGTAAATTTCAGCTGCCGTCCCGTCCCTGCCGTCACGCCCAGTGATCACCCCGGAGCTCATCGGCCACAGTGTCCAACTGAGGTGCTCCTTCATCCCGCCGCCTTGGAACCAGCCACTGGGCTTCCAGGTGGTCTGGGCCAGACACATCGGCCACAGCATGAAGGCCGAGATCAGGCAGGAATCCACGCTGAAGCCCTTCTCTCTGGTGGAGATGGATGGCGTTCACTTCAGGCTCGGAGAAACGGTAATTCCTGCCAGACCGTGCTGAGAGTTTCAGGGAGCACATGTGGAGGGCTTGACCCCTCGAGTGGGCAACGTAAGCCATGGATCATGCTGACCTCTTTTTGCCTAGGTTCACAAAGCAAAGGCAGATAGGCAACGCGTGTCGTGTCCCGTTAAGAGAAGGCAAGAAGAGGGTGGGGAATTTAAATCAGTTGCAGGTTGGGAAAGCCTCGCTCCACATGCTTCCCATTTAAACCTCCCCATTCAAATCTTCACTGTGAATTCTGGGGATGTTTTTCTTACATGGATGGATGCACACAGATACAGTAAAGCTGTTCTCAACACTTGCACTCATTCGGCTGTTCTCTTTTAATTGCACAAATTGTCCAGTTCAGTTCCAGTGTCTGACTGTAAACCTGCCTCCTGACAGGAAGTTGGAAGATTCTGGAGGTGTGGGAGTCGGCTCTTCTGCAAGCCTCTGCGACCTTCAGCTGTGTGTATCTTAATAGAAGTTTATTTCCAGAGTAATAAACAGCAATCACTCGTGGCAAAGACGCTCCAGAGCAAATCTGATTTGTCCTCATTTTTGTGCATGTTGTGGGTCAGACGGCCATCAGCTGGATTCTGTTACCAGAAGACATAAGGTGATACAAAGCATTTGATCAGACCGTTCTTTGTCTCTGCAAGAGGTCGGCTTTGAGCGTCAAGATCATTATTCAATCCAGGATCGAAGAGCAAGGAGAGGAACTTCATCTTACATTCAGCAGGGGTTGTTGCTGGTTAGATCGGACACAAGGGTCTTGCGCTGCTGACCAATAAGCAGAGGAATTGAAGATATTAACGGTTGTCAGGCTGAATAATTGCTCGTGAAACTCATTCTGGTGAGCCGGAAAATAAGAAAGGAATCTGAAAGTTAGAGTGTCCACAGTTTGGCAAAGTTTCCAAAAGGTGCGGACACACCAAACCGACATCAAACTAGCGGCAACGAAAGCCAACTGTTGCGTCGTCTACGTCGCCTCACGTCGCCCTGTGTCAGTTGCATTTGAACACACTACACGGACTACATCCGACGGCCAAGTAGCACGTACGTTCTGCGCCTGCGTGAGAGAGAGCGGAGTGAGAGAGTGGTACATCCTGTCAGCCGAGGGGTTTCCTATCTGTGCAGCAGAGCACAGCAGCACCTCCACGGACTATTACATCCAGACGGTCCCGGTGTTTCCTCCGCAGGCTCCACTTCACTCAGCTGCCCGATAAACCCGCTGCTTCTTCCCACTTTAACCTGAATAACAAACCAGGGCTCGGTGCTCCGGTTGGATCCAAATGGAGAGCCGGGGCTAGCTCAGAGACTAGCGGAGGCTAACTGGCTGTGCTTCCCTCCGGTCATGCTGCGGCTAACGCTCCGCTAGCCGCTCCCAGCTAGCTCCGGTTTGTTATTCAGGTTAAAGTGGGAAGAAGCAGAGGGTCTGTGGGGCAGCTGAGTGAAGTGGAGCCAGAGGAGGAAGCACCGGTTAGCCCCGGCTTCACTACAGGCAGATTCACTTGCTACAGGGGCGAGGAAATAAAACCTGAACAGCCAATCAGAGTGATCTCTCTCACCGACAAGCTCCGCCGCTGATTCAACATGCTCAATCGACCGAAAAGCCGTCGATGGTGCGGGACACACCGCAAAAACTAGGCTGACAGACGCTCACCGACGGCCCGACTTTGGTCGACGGCTGACCGTCGGCTTGGTGTGTGAGGGCCCACTTAAGTTTATTTGCTCCCAATCCCAAACTCAAGAACGCTGCAGTAGGGTATAAGGTTTTCGTTCAATGTTTTGTTCAATTGTACTAACTAGCTTAGCTCTGAATACACACAAAGGAATTTTGAAAGAAGCACAAGTGCAGCACGCTCATGAAGTCAGAGGGCTGGGATTGGTTGAATGCAATGTTGATCCAGGAGCATGTCCTGCTTGGCAAAACCACGTCGTGCCTCACCCCAGCAGGTGGGATCTCTCGCGAATACCACCTGTTAAACAGAGGGGGCAAAAATGACAACTAAGAGGGCGACCTCCCTTGAAGCTTTGGCCCGGTGGACAGTTGATGACAGCTGCACTCATTGCGTTGCTGTGCATGTAAGCGTTACAGCTGGCGTAAAACATATGATCGGCTAGGTTAAAAAGAGCCGATCCCCGATGCCTTGATCAGCCCCGGTACTGATCTCTGAGATCAGATCAGGACATAATGGATCTTCTTTCATACAGCTGAAGTGGATGTCTTCTCTGCATTTGGAGTAATAATTATTTTAATGAAACGTCTTCTCTCGACAGTCTGCTGCACAGTCTCAGCTCTGACGGCTCTCATTTCCTGTAGAAATTATCTCTTGCCTGGAAACATTAAGTTATTAGAATTTCAACGTGATGCTGTTTGAAAGTGAGGTGATGTCACTGTGACTGCTGGCCCTCGTGCAGCTGTGGGCCATTGTGCTTATTGTCCATATTTGGACACCGGGGTTGTGTTAGTTGTGTCTGGAACGTGTTGCAGAAGAGTGGGCTCATCCTCACAGACTTTTTTTAACACATGTTGATGGAGCAGCTCAGTCGGGTCAAAGGTCGGCTTTGTTTGTCTTAAACCATGAGTTAGTGCTCTTGGAGCTACATCAGGAAAGGTTTTGGTATGGAAGGAATCAAACCCTGATAGAGGCATTTAAACTCTGCTATACCCTTTATTTTTAACGTCTCTTATACGCATGTTATTTTATGGATTAATAAGAGCATTAAGTGATGTCAGCGATGTTTTCCTTGCAGTTCTCCTGCAGTGTGTCAACTTTCAGAGCCAACTTCAGCCACAGCAGATCTTCTCCGAAAGAAAGTGAAGGTTTCTACGCAGGACTGAAGGTAAACATTCTTGTCTTGTGTTTTAACTCCAGAGTGTTTGAGAGTTGTACGTTCAAACTTACCTGACGGCTCTTTGTCTCCTCTTTCCCTTCAGTTTTCTCCAGACTCGCTCCACATCGCAGAGAACAGTAAAGAGCACGAGGTGACCGTGCACAGCACAGTACCCATCCCCTGCTTCGACCCCGACCACGGCCACCAGTGTGGAGTCCCTCTGGCTCTGAGCGTCCACGACCCAGGTCAGACCTGCAAGAAACAGGAGATAGTGTTTGAGTATTTTGTGCAGTTGTTTGGGGACAGAAAATCCCAATTTTGGAAACAGGATGGAGCTGGGTGGGATGGGCCCGCAGCAACCACGGCAGCTGACCAAACATACCACTCTATTCACCTTAATATCCCCTTGATTGGACAAATATATTCAAATTTGTGACCAAAACAACGTAAGAGAACTGGAATTCTTTGTTTTTACAGATAAATGATCCTTTAAAAGAAATTGCCTTTGCTAAAATATGCATACGCTGTTATGAACATCTTCGATTAGCTCACGAAAGACTCATCAGAACAGCTATTTCATGTCTTGGGTTCCTCTTCTGTTATGCTCTGACTTGTCCTGCACATCATCACATCAAAGCCAGCTCAGGAAGACATTATTACAGCTCTGCAGGCAGCTGTGTGCCGTCCGTTAACACTAACTCACCGCTGTGTTGACATTTGCAGACAGTCTCGGACATGAGGCCCCAAATGTGGCGCTGTCCGCCTGCCAGGTGGAGCTCCAGCCCAGCGCCTGCAGCCAAGGCAGCTGCGGCCAGGTGAGCTTTTTTGTCACCGCCGTCACCGATTTCACACATGATGGGAATCGGCTGAGTCTGATCGGTGTTTTACCCGGATCGAGTGCACCGAGAATCTGGAGAAGCTACGCACCGACGTCTCTGAAAGTGAGTTGAAATTAAATTTCTTGGACCTTTAAGGATAAATGTATATAAATCTGATGCTTTCACAGGAGGAATTTCATCTGAAGGAAAAGCTGTTCAGTGCCGTTTGAGAGCGTTCAAGAGATCCTCAAGGGTTTCCAGGGGTTCAGGAAAACAGTCAAGTCATTCTTGAGGGTGTTCTAGGGATCCTGAAGAGGTTTTCATCGGTCACTGAGGGATCCTTGAACACGTATTAGTGGACCATAATGAGAATCAATGAGTACAGGAGGTTGAGGGGCTTTCAGAGATCTTTGATGACTATCCTGGAAATTCTGAGGAGGTTTCAGGTACCCCTTGTCCACCAAATTAGCTCTGGTTCTTGAACCAGTTCCATCAAAGATTCTTGGACAGCACATTGTCCGTTCGACCTCGTCACATATCGATGTTTGGTCATGGGACGTCGTTCTGGGACACCATATAAAGTTCTGCCTGTTACTGTTGCATCATCTGTTTTCAAAATACACTTTTGTTTTCACAGGAAATTCACAGTTTACATACAGTCTCTTTCAAAATAAAAGCACTATATCGGTACAACATGGCAAATTGACATTTTATTCCTTTAACAACAAACACACATGGTTAAGTTTGGGCAACAAAAACGCATGATTAGGTTTAGGCAACAAACACACATGGTTGGGTTTAGGCAACAAAAACGTGGTTGGGTTTAGGCAACAAACACACATGGTTGGGTTTAGGCAACAAAAACGTGGTAAAGTTTAGGCAACAAAAACACATGGTTGGGTTTAGGCAACATAAACACATGGTTAGGTTTAGGCAACATAAACACATGGTTGGGTTAAGCAATATAAACACATGGTTGGGTTAAGCAACAAAATCATGTGGTTAAGTTTAGGCAACAAAAACATGTGGTTGGGTATAGGCAACAAAAACACATGGTTAGGTTTTGGCAACAAAATCATGTGGTTAAGTTTAGGCAACAAAAACACATGGTTGGGTTAAGCAACAAAATCATGTGGTTAAGTTTAGGCAACAAAAACACATGGTTGGGTATAGGCAACAAAAACACATGGTTGGGTTTTGGCAACAAAAACCTGTGACTAGGTTTAGGCAACAAAAACACATGGTTGGGTTTAGGCAACAAAACTCTTGGTGGTTGGGTTTAGGCAACAAAAACACATGACTAGGTTTAGGCAACAAAAACGTATGGTTGGGTTTAGGCAACAAAAACACATGGTTGGGTTTAGGCAACAAAACTCTTGGTGGTTGGGTTTAGGCAACAAAAACACATGACTAGGTTTAGGCAACAAAAACGTATGGTTGGGTTTAGGCAACAAAAACACATGGTTGGGTTTAGGCAACAAAACTCTTGGTGGTTGGGTTTAGGCAACAAAAACACATGACTAGGTTTAGGCAACAAAAACGTATGGTTGGGTTTAGGCAACAAAAACACATGCCTAGGTTTAGGCAACAAACACACATGGTTGGGTTTAGGCAACAAAAACACATGACTAGGTTTAGGCAACAAAAACATATGGTTGGGTTTAGGCAACAAAAACACGTGGATGGATTTAGGCAACAAAAACACATGTTTAGGCAACAAAAATATGTGGTTAAGTTTAGGCAACAAAAACACATGCCTAGGTTTAGGCAACAAAACATGTGGTCGGGTTTAGGCAACAAAAACACGTGGCTGGATTTAGGCAACAGAAACACATGATTGGGTTTAGGCAACAAAAACACATGATTGGGTTTAGGCAACAAAAACACGTGGATGGATTTAGGCAACAAAAACACATGACTTTTGCCGCCTTAACCTTCGTTCTTGTCCAGTTGCGTTTCCCCGATGCCGCCGAGCGCAGCTAAACAATAATGATGACCGGCTGCGTATCATACCGACCTTAAAGGATGGCTTTTATCGTCAGTCTGTGACACCACAAGTCACTGCCCAATACCAGATTTTGATGACTTCGGAGTAAGACCAGGTGGTCTTGGAACCTTGATGCTACCAGTTTTGAGTGGAACCACTGATATCATGGATGTGTCATTAATGGAGGGTGCTGCACAATACACAACAGAAATAAACAGTAGAATCAAAAATGCGGATTACATTTTTTTTTTACCCAAAAAACAAACATGGACCAACTATTCATGAGACCACTGCACACATGTCGCCTTCTCCATCCTCTCTTTCCAATCCATTCCTCAGGGTCATTGAACAAATAAAAGCAGTCTTTGCATAACCAGGGCTCTTTTTGGATGCTTCAAAGGTAATTAGGTGCCATGGATTCTTGATGTTAGGGTGCTGTGGTATGCAAACTGCATAGCACAAAGTCGTTAAAGGGGTTCCTGGACCAGTTGAGGGTGCCCAAAGGGTCTTTAGGGAGGTTCCAGTGGTCCTTGGGGATTCCAGGAGTGGCATCCTGAACTTCTTAAGAGGGCACCAGGGTCCCAAACTAAATGAACAATGAAGAGCAATGTGATATAATTATCTAACTATTACTTTAATTAGAAAGATGGCTCTAATCACAGGTCTGTCTGTTAGACTGTTTACATGTACACACAGTTATATGGTGCTTTATAAAACTGGAAGGGACAGTGGGGGTTGAGGGCCAAAAGTGTGCCTGTTTGATGAGTCGACATCATGTTTAAAGAGCGATGTTCTGAGTAGTCATTAGCTGCCTCCACACAAGCCATTACATTATGTAAGACATGATGTCAGCCCTCCAGACAGTGTGTCTCTGAGGAGCCTGCCGAGAGGAGTTTTCCCATCTGTACTGGGTGAAAACATCAAAGCTCAAGGTCAAGGGGTCACAGCATGGAGCCCTCCTTATCTTTGTTCTCCTTACCATCTTCCCCCAGGTCACGGTCCAGGACGTTCCTACTTCCATCTGCTACTCTCTGACTGACCCACATGTCATTACACTAGACGGCAGGTAATTTACCCATTCATCAGTTATCAGCGGCCGTCAAATGGTAATTTGAGTTCCAGTCTGGCTCAGACGTTGATATATCTGTATGTCCTTCTCTCATTCTGCTGTGCAGGCGTTATGAAAACCACCAGACCGGCACTTTTGTCCTCTACCGGAGCCTCGTCAGGGAGTTTGAGGTCCACTCTCGCCAGTGGGACTGTGGCAGCCGGCACTACGCTGTCGCCTGCAACTGTGGGCTAGCAGTGCGAGAGGGAAACGATCTTGCCATCTTTGACATGTGCAACGGCCAGCCGCAGGAAACCAGGCCACAGCTCACCCTGAAGAACCTAGATGACAGGGAGGGCAGTGGAGTCAGGGTGCTGGAGTCCCACCAGGGGAAGAAGGTCACCGTAGGTATCCGAACATTTTCACACCGGTGCAGAATTGTTTGGAAAATCAGTCAATGCTGTGCCTCCAAATCAAATGCATGAGGGATCTTGACTTTAAATACATCCATCATATAAATTTGATCAAGAATGCGCCACTCTTTTAGGGTCTAAATGTTCATTTCTCCTGCATGAGGAGATTATGTTAATGCACTGCTGGATGTGACTCTCCTCTTGTAGTTGATCTTTCCCTCCGGGGCCTTTGTTAGGGCCGATGTTGGCGATTGGGGGATGAGCCTGTCCGTACGGGCGCCCAGCGTTGACTACAGCAACACGCAGGGCCTCTGCGGCACCTTCGACCGCAATGGCAACAACGACTTCCACGGCTCCGATGGTGGCTCCTATGGTCCTGATGATCTGCATCGCTTCATAGAGAGCTGGAGGTCAGTCTGAGACAAGTAAAGATTAAAATTGATGTGATTGTTTTGGACCTGAAAAGGCAGATTCTTCACAGAGCTTTTTGTTCCTGTGGTTTTCCTTTGTTTTGCGCGTGTGCTAGGATAGCACCCGGTGAGAGTTTATTTGACAAGACACCTCCTGGGACGACGCAGGAGGTCAAGAGGCCCTTCTGTCAGTGCCAGAAAGGATACAGCACTTCCCATCACACCGGCAGAGGGATGAGGAACTTGTACGATCCTTCCGCTCACTCCGACTGCATAGCATACAGTAATGTGGATTATACATCTGTGTTCCCCTCTATGGACACAACAGTGGAATACATCAAGAGTCCAGAGAGGGAGGAAAGCATCCTGGATATGTCTGCCTTTAGAAGTCATCCTCTGGAGAGGAGGCACCTTGGGTTTCACACCGGGAACAATCAAAACAGTGACGGTGGTCTTGAACTGGATGGTGAGTTCAGGGAGGATCTTCTGCTTTCCACTGACAGGCCAAAGAGACAGGCGTCATTTGAATTTAAGCCTGTTTTCACGACTCAGAGCCTCAGCCAGGCCGATCTGGAGAACCTAGCCTACTTCTTCCCTGAGGATCACTTGGCGGAAGCCCGGCCGGAGGTGCAGCCTGAGTGGCCCACACCGAGCGGCCTGACCTCCACCAAAGCTCTGGAGGTGTGCCAGATCGCTTTGGCCAACTCCACCGTTGGCGCCGTGTGCCGAGGGCTACTGGGACGCCGTCTGGACGAGGCAGTGGATCTCTGCATTCTGGACCTGCAGCTCAAAGACGACCTGGGCTGGGAGGAGGCGCTGCTGCCGTACCTGGAGAATGAGTGCGAGAGGAGGCTGTTGGAAAACAGGACCCTGAGAGCCTTGGAGGTGTCCGGTCGTCCAGGAACGTCCAGGGAGGTGGTGACAGCACTGCGCTGCCCCAACTTTTGCAACGGAAATGGAGAGTGTACAGAGTGGGGCTGCCAGTGCTACCCCAGCCACAGCTTCTACGACTGCAGCCTGGCCATCAGTGAGTACCCAGAGGCTCTTGCTCCAGTCCGTAATTGGTAAAGAAGGTCAATGATTATGTTTTGCTACAGCTGTAGAATCATTATAATCTCTCCTCTGATAGGCCAGCCATTAGAAATAACAGATTTGGAGAACGGTGGACTGTGTGACATCCGCACCTTCAACTGTCGCAGCGTTCGAGTGTTTGGCCTCGGCTTCATCGACTCTCCTGACCTCAGCTGCCACGCCAACAGACTTAAGGTAAGGAAAGGCAAGGTCAAAGGTCAGGCTGAATGCCTTCAAGAGGTTTTCACGATATGTCCTCTGAACTGCGTTAATCTGCCCCCACAGTACATGAACGCAGTTTGGGTTCCAGGGGAAAAACAGAGAACAAAAGCCACCTTCCTCAGCTCCAAGGCTTTAGACTGCGCCGTGCCATCTCTGAGCAACACAGCCGTCAACACAGAAGACTTCATGATGGACGACAAACCATACGCACGCTGGGAGATTAAGGTAACGTCTCAGATCTTTTCTTGTTTGTCGGTGGATGTTTAGTCATGTCATGTCAGCTCCTCTCTTTCCTGTCCCAGGTCACCAACGATGGCTCCCAGTACAGCCAGGCCAAGGTGCTGACGATCTACGATGGCGTTTGCCAGGTGTGCGACGCATCGCGCTCAGGACTCTGTAAGTTAAAGGTAACTCGCATACAAAAAAGAAGCGTTTTCCTCCATGTCCAGTTGTTAATCTCCTCCACATCATAAACTGTATAAAATAATGGACGTAGCAGGTCACTTGTTGGGAAAATTTGGACTCACTGGTGTTTGTGTATTTGTGTAACAGAGTTAGGAGACAGATGTGATTCAGTGGTGTTTAGAGGAAAAGTGCAGCGAAGCGTTTTATATGCTCTGTTAGGGCTGCAGAATCAGCGCTCTGAACAACTTGTAACTTGTTGAATGACTAAACCAGAGACGGTGTGATTTCCCTTCCTCCAAACATGCAGCAGCTGGCTTTTTAAAAACCCAACAAAGGTGCAGAGGGGGCCGTGTTGTTACTGGAAGTGCTTTTTATGGGAACGGAGACAGGACAACATGCGATTGCAGACACTCAGAGATCTGCATGTGCCTGCCAAAGCTGAACTAAATTGAATTAGCCGAAGCAGAGATGGAGCAGATTTCCTGTTGTGTACCTGGCTCCTCCAGAGAAACCCACTGAAGGAAAATAAACAGCTTGATGAAATATGTTTATATTGCTGTAATTTCTGGAAGCTGCTTTGGCATTTTTTAAACAATGTTGTAAATATAAGTATGCAAACAAACCTTTTGCATTTTCTGGTTGCCAGGAGAGGACGTGTAACATCGACGGGATGTGTTTCGCAGAGGGAGACTCCAATCCCAGCAGCCCCTGCCTCCTCTGTGACCCCGACACCTCCAAATTCACCTGGTCTGTGAATCAAGGTACGACAAGAGATACGTCATCAACAGAACCATACATAACTTGCCCTTGGTGAATCCACATAGTCAACAGGTTATTAGGCAAAAAACTCTTGAGGGAGCTATGGTGTTATGGCTTTTCTTTTCGTCCAGCACCTGCCTTAAAGAGTTTTGGGATGTACACGTGTGTTATGTCTTTTATGTCATTAATTCGGATTGTTTACTCATAACAGTCAAAAAGTTGAGTGTGGAACACGAGACACTTGTCACCCTCAATGGTCGCCATCTCGGTTATGTAGCAAAAGGGGTGGGGACCATGAAACTCTTAAGTACATGGTTTACACAGTGTACTACATGGAAGTGTATGAATGGAAATATCCAATATTGAGACACAGCACTTATATAAAAGTATAAGTAAACCCTATGGCCAAAAATATGTGGACAAGATTGTCCTGTCTCCCTTTTAGCCTGCCGACTGTATTTAAAGATGGGCAATGCTTCTCCACTCTTCTTCCAAACTTGCTGCAACTTGCTTTCTCTAAATATCAGTGTTATTGTCAATACTAAAAAATTGCGAAACCCATAGTTTCAATGATGGGAAATCCTAAAGCATACAGCGAAATTTTTATTTCCTTGGTCCTGACCCCCAGACGGAGTTGCCAAAACACCACTAGGATGTAAGACAACTTTTAGAAAGTACATTTAAGCTTGGACAACTTTAGTCAGAGAAAACTTTATTTCCATTTGCATTATCATATTTGGCGGTATGGCGCTGTTCTGGGGCCTCTCTGCCTTTCCTAGGTCTATGCAGAAAGCCTAAGGCAGAGAGAGAGCACACCTCTCTGCCCTTCCATATGCCTACATGGAAAGACTTTCTACACACGTACATGGAAAGCCTATGGCAGAGAGAGAGCACACCTCTCTGCCCTTCCACGCACCTACGTGGAAAGACTTTCTACACGCCTACATGTAAAGCCTTATGGCAGAGAGAGAGCACACCTCCCTGCCCTTCCACGCGCCTACATGGAAAGCCCGAGGCAGAGAGAGCAAATCTCTCCACCCTTCCAAATTCCTACATGGAAAGCCTAAGGCAGGGAGAGCAGCAGCAAAGACCCCTCTGGGTCAATGACAAACAGAAATGACATTGACAAGTCAGACACAGCATGAAAAGGAGGAGCTGGGGTGGAGGCAGGTTGCGAAGCAGCTTCCAGAGGAAGCGGCAACAGTAGGCAGGCCAGAGCAGTTTAAACAGGACACCCTGAATGAGATTCTCCAATTGGTTGCATAGAAAGGAATCATGTGATCTATCAGCTGACTCCCTTCCATCAGCTGATTGAGTTGCTTGAGATCAGCTGATGTAGCTGGGATGTGAGCTGCCTGAACAGTTGGTCTATATCTCAGCCTTTTGTTGATTTCTGTGAAGAAAACAGAATAAAATTGCTATTTTAAAAGTTCGGATTACTATTTAAGACATAAAATTTAACAAAAAAATAAACTCAGGTTAAAGGCAGGGTGGGTTTGTTATGATTGTTATGCATTGAATATAATATGAAATCCATACAATATCTCACTTAGTTCGGCGTTGGGTTGGGAACCAGTGTTTCAGACATCCAGGAGGTGTTTTTGTCTCAGCTTGTAGCCCACTAATGATGAATTACAGGGAGAACAGCATTTATCTTACTGCATGATTGCCGTGACAGTCGTGGTTGGCTGTTAGCGAGGTAGCTGTCCAACTGTGGTCCTGTTTGTCCCCATTAGCAGATCAAAGGAGCGGAGGTTTAGGTTTCCCAGCATGCCCTGACCTGTCGCTTAACCACTCTGAGACAGAGGGGAGCAGCAGGGGTAAATCACATGGTTTGTTACTACGGCTACACAGACTGACAGTAATTCTTAGTCACACTCAACGAAACACGCTGAGCACTGCGATAAATGCGCAGGATAACACGTCGTTTAGTCCCACATTAAAACCTGAATTTCCTCAGGGCGGTAATTTTAAAAGGTTTCTCAACAACAATGGTACTCTGCAATGGCATACAAGTATCTCACCAAGTTGCCCGACGTAGTTCTAGACTGTGAGGTTTGGAATTCAGTAATAGCAATAATCGTATTAATCAGTTTCTTAACATATGACTGTCATGCTGAGCAGGTGTTCCCTGGGATTATCATCACTTTCCTCCTGTTGAACATCTGTGGGGGAGAGCGTGATCTCAGGAAGTGGATGCTACGTGATCTGGTTGACATGGCCGTCGAGAGCTCAGTTTGGAAAGAAAAGCTGGAAACACCTCCAGATATGGACATGGGTGTTTACAATGGCTCTACCAGAACAGCCTGGAGGAATGTTTTTGTCAAAGCAAGTCACATGGAGTTTATTTCAGGACAGGAAGTAGATTCTGTCATAAAACAATAAAACTTGTAGTTGTCAGTGTAATGGTAAATAAGAAAGGAACAACTATTGCCATGTTTTCAGGTTGTCCGTCTATCTGTTCCATTCTCGTCAATGCAATATCTCTTCAAATGTGGCACAGATGTCCACTTGGACTCATTAGGATGATTAGATTTTAGGGATCATGGGCCAGCGGTCAAGGTCATTGTGACCTCATCTGTCTCATTCTTGTGAATGTTATATCTCAAAAATGCCTTCAGGGTATTTTTTCAAATTTGGCACAAATGTTTCCCTGGATTCAGCAATGAACTGGTCGAAAGGCCAAGATCACCGCAACCCTATATCCATCACATTCCTGTGAATGTGATATCTCAAGGACACCTCGAGAGAATTTTTAAAAAATCTGGCACAAACATCCACTTTGCGTCAGACATGAACTGATTAGAATTTGGTGGATAAAGGTCAAAAGTCAAGGTCACATGATATCTCAAGCGGGCCTTTAGGGAATTTCTTCAAATTTGGCACAAACATCTATTTCGACTCAGGAATAGACTGATTAGACTTTGGTTGTCAAAGGTCACATTGACCTTGCGTCTGTCTCACTCTCATGATCATGATATCTCAAGAAGGCCTTGAGGGAACTTTTTTCAAATTTGGCACAAATGTTTCCCTGGATTCAGCAATGAACTGGTCGAAAGCCAAGATCACCGCAACCTTATATCCATCACATTCTTGTGAATGTGATATCTCAAGAATTTTTAAAAAATCTGTCACAAACATCCACTTTGCGTCAGACATGAACTGATTAGAATATGGTGGTTAAAGGTCAAAAGTCAAGGTCACATGATATCTCAAGCGGGCCCTTAGGGAATTTCTTCAAATTTGGCACAAATGTCCACTTGGACTCAAGAGTAAACCGATTAGAACTTGGTGGTCAAAGGTCGAAGGGCAAGGTCACGGTGACCTCACAAAGCATGTTTTTGGCCATAACTCAAGAATTCATTCACTAATTATGACAAAATTCCACACAAATGTCTAACAGGATAAAATGATGACATTTTATATTCAAAAGGTCAAAGGTCATCTTCACTGTGACATCATCGTGTTCTGTAAAAACACTTTTCTGCGCATTATTTAACGTCATATCTCAGGAACAGAAGTGGAGACATTTGGTCAGATACTGAACTGGTGACTAATCTTGAACCTGTGCTGATTGTATAGATCTTCTGTGTGTGAAGCATCCATGTTTTCACTGACATGGATGGAGACTGTAATGGCAACTTGACGGTTTTGCAGAGGCGGTAATTCTATTGTTGTTGAAAGTATGTGGTATTTGTACACGTTTTTCCTCCTCTGCCCTCAGTCAATGAGCCGCCGGCCTTCCACCAGCCTCAAAGCGCCCTCCGGACATTTACCGGGGAGAACTTTGTCTTCCAGTTTGCAGCATCAGACCCCGAGGGCTCGGCACTCCTCTTCCAGCTGGAGGAGGGGCCAAAGGGTGCCGTCCTCTCCCCTGCCGGCCTTCTTATCTGGAGGGTCCCATCTTTTCCTGAGGAGGAGGGGCGTCAGTCGAGTAGCTTGGTTCGCTTCACGCTGTCAGACGAGTGCAACGCCCAGAGCGCCTCCACCGTGAAGGTAAGAGCCGCAGAGGGAGAGATCAGGACGATAAGAGGGAAAGGTGCAGGAGACAGTAGGATTTATGGGAAATGTGGTCTTAATTTTAGGAGACATTAACGCCCACAGTACGGCATAAGTGGGAGGATAACAATGCCTCAGCAGTGTCGCTTTCTTTCCCATCTGTAACACAGATTGACGTGGTGCCATGTGGGTGTAAGAACGGAGGTACCTGTGTAACGGACGTCAATTTTCCAGCAGGCAGTGGGAAGTACCTGTGTGTGTGTCCTGAGGGTAGGCAGGGCGACCTCTGCAACGAAGATGTGGACGAATGTGTGTCGGCCCCTTGCGCAGTTGGCAAGTGTATTAACACAGCCAGTGGGTACAGGTGCGAGTGTCCTGTGGGACTGAGAGGTAACAAGTTGGTGAAGGCCACTAAAATCCATCTACCTGAATCCACAAAAGTAGAGCCTTTGATTTTTGAAGCTCACAGAAAGCAGGTTATGTCGAGCCCTTCTGGCATCACGTATTTGCAGGTGTAGAGGATCAATGTCATGTCAGTTATGGTTTATGATCGCATAAACTGTTTCGCTGTGTGCGTGTTTTTGGCAGGTATAACGTGCCTGGAAGACATCAATGAGTGTGAAAGGAAGCCGTGTTTCCCAGGAGTCCAGTGCATCAACAGCTTTGGCTCCTATGGCTGCGGGCCATGCCCCACAGACATGATGGGTAATGGGACGATATGCACAGGTAAGCATGAGCCCACTGCATTATTATCAGGACGGCTGCTAAGACAATTTTCATATATTAATAAGACCATAAAGAAATGGACTTAGCCACTGTGACGTCAACAATCAGTTTGTGAACTCTATAGGTCGGTGTTTTGGCCATCGACCACAAGAGGGTCAAGATTACCCTAGTACTAGCTAGCTACTAGCTGCTAGCCTGGTTAGAAAAGTGCACTTCCAGCTAAGGTTAACGGGGATAAGATAAACCTAACGCTAGCTGCTATCTTGGTTAGCAGAGTACAGCTATGGTAAACTGTGATAATGCTCATGCAATATTCCTTAGCAAAAACAGGCTTAAAACCATTAAAACAAAATGAAATAATGATTCTAGGGGACTACAAGCTAGCTACGATGCTACATTATGATTGGCCAGTCTGCTTCCGGGGGCGGAACTTAGCAAAGGGTCAATTACCTTTCATGAACCTAACACACGCTGAAATTTTGACAGCTATGATCACGCCTATACTCTGTGAATTTGGGGTTATGCTATGTTATGTTGTCGCTATGGTTGCGACTTGTCAACAAACAGCAACCACCTGTCACTCACGTCATGCCCTTATTTATGCGTACTTGTAAGCCTTAATAACATTTAAATAGGTGAGTTATATAAAAAGCTATCCCCTGTACAGTTGTCATGGATGTTGAAATTAGCCGTAGAGACCAAAACTGTTTTGTACCAGGCTGTAAACATGTTTATTTCTGCTGTAACGTTGGACATTTTAACATGAGAGTCTTTCGGAAACTACTTTCTTTTGGAGCCACCCTCGTGTGGCCATTAGAGGAACTGCAGTTTCTGGCACTTCTGCTTTGGCTTCACTTTTTAGGCCTGAAGGCTGCAGCTTTGTTAAACAGCAGCAGCACATACTGTATCTTGTCAAAGTACTTTTAAGCAAGGCAATGAATAACCTGCTTGTGTTCTTACCACAACTTGCTGTGGAGAAACATACCAGTTAACAACTAAAAAGCAATAATAATTTGAAGAGATATTCAGTGTCAGGTTTGATCTGACGGCCAAAGAACATAAAACAAAGTTTGACCATTACGTCATGTGAATACAACGGGAACATTAGATTCTCCTCAGGTTTATGGGATGATAAAAAACTGAACAGATGTCAGTCTGAACAAATGATTTCACTTTCACATATATTCAATTTTAAGACTGTTTTGTTAAGAATAGGTGAGATGTTTCCCTCAGTTTCTGATGCACTTGTAAAAACTATTTGAAACTATTGCTAATGTTTTCACAAAAACATGAATTTAAGATTGGTATGATAAAATAACTTTCCATGGAACTGTGCATACACAAAACTAACTTCGCAATCAGCCGGGTTCTGATTCTGATACGAGATAGTTCCTACCCCCAAACCTGACTCTCATTAACAAGTTCATCAGATACTGCTGCTCTTTTAAAGTGTGCAGCCATTCTGTAGTTTTAAGGTCTTGCATAACACATAAAAATCTACTTTTCTATGTAATTATTTGCATGTAAGATATCTCTGCTGTTGCACAATCCCTTTGGGTAAGAGCATCAGCTAACTGCCCAGAGCATGAAGGTGAATTTGTTCGTCGCAGCCATGCGTCTCCGAGGAACACTCAGCAGGGATACAGTGCTGAATGGAAACCAGATGGCTGATGGCAGCTGATACCGCCGCCTCCCTCCATGTGCTCTCTTTGCATTGCAGTGAGTGCTAACTGGAGTTAATGCTTTGAAAACACAGCCCGCTGCGGGAGGGAAAAGCTGCTTCAGACTAATCATGTTTGTGTACATGCATACGTACAGACGTGAATTCACACAGTAAACACTAATAGTTGTGATACTAAATTATACGTCTGATATTCATAAAGCTCCTGGTGTTGCGTGGCTGCAGCTGCTTCACAGCTCCCAGCAGCTAAGAATCTTTTCTTTTCCAAACTAGAGCTAATATGTAGCTTGTTAAAGTTGGTTTTAATTGTATTTGCCAGTGGTTAGTTGCAGACACACTTTGTTTTAAGCTAAAGCAAGTGGTTTTCTTACTTTCTGCCAAAAAAAAGGTTAATCGCTAATAAGTCCCTCGTTTAATTAGTCTCGAACATGACGTATCATCTGAAACATGGAAGTAGCTACATGCCCATTAGCCCACAGCGTCATTAACAGGCGGCTCGCTCAGTGTGTGACGTGCACTTGTAGATAAAATATAGGCCTATATTAATGAAGGTTCATTAGTACGGTTTTGTATTTCTCTGTAATGTTACTGATACTATTCTTTCTCACACCTTCAACTCAAACCACCAAAATATATCATTTAATCATTAAATTAATATCATAAACATGCGGGAGACTAGTCCACTGATGGCCCTAAATGACGACTCTTGGCTGACTAGGAAAATTCTTAGTTGGGGGCAGCCCTACCTGGTTTGCCGCTAGCTGCGGTGACAGGTTGACAAAGAGAACAAAGTTTGTGATTAGCTGCACAAAAAGTTCAACAAGGTGATGGTGGAATTGGTTTTTGAGTCACTTGCGACAGAAGAAAATGTTGGCATTGTACATTTCTGCAAACCAAGAATGTTACATTTGCACATTTCATATGTACAGTATAAACGTTAATGGGATGGTGGATGGTGCGTCACCTAGGTGAGATGTGCCAAGCTTTGAAACCAACAAAAAGGCGACACTAATTGGTTTTCGGCAACACTTTGCGGCATTTCCACCAGTGTTTGTGGCACCAAACCTGAGTGTTTCTTTTTTATTTTAGATTTAACAAACAGTAACCAAAAAAAGAAAGGGAAGGGGGGATGCAAGGGTGACATTAAGAATGTTACGTAACATACATTACATCTCATACATTTGTTGTGTAAAAGCCTTTTAAACTGTGGCTACTGTTGTAGTGTACAGACACTGAGTGTGTTTACATGGACAGTTTAATTCCCTTTTCATTCGGAATGAAAGTTCATTCCTGTTAAAAGTGATCTTGTAAACACCGAATTCGGAATGAAAATGGCCAATGTGATTGAAACTTCAATCCGATGTAAGGGGCTGGAATATTCTGTTTCTAATTCCCAATGAAAGACTTTATCGCGCTTGTACACACTCATTCCTCTTTAAGTTCATTCCGGTCTTTCTGCGCATGCTTGTTTCCTTGCCCTTCTGGCGCGATGACGTATATAGTGCGCATAGCAATGGGCTGCATAGCAACGGGCTGAGATAGAGCAGTCGGACTCGTTGCACTCACCGGTTTCCATTCGCCACAGCACGGTCTTCTATCTCCCTTCTTCGACCTTCTACCTCCCTTCTCCTCCTCATCAGACGAAGCATTAGCAGAACAAGGTTGTTGTCGTACTGCTGCTTCAAGAATATAAGCAAAACAAGCCCGAAAAAGGCACTAAGAACAGCGTCGTCAAGCATCTTGTTATCCGGAGCGAGGACTACAGTGTTTTCTTTTGGTAAACACGTAACATCCGCCCCGCCCCCTATCCAATCAGAAACCTTCCCTGCCCCAAACCTTGCGTGGACCCGAATACAGGCGATTAAAAGGCGATTAAACTGATCTACCGTGTAAACCCTCATTCAGAATGAATATTTCCCATGTAAACTACCTGGGAAGACTTTAATTCCAAATGATTTCATTCACATTTATTTCATTCTGGATGAGAAGCCATCATGTAACCGCACCCAGTGTCCTAGTGGTCTTCCAGGCCCTTATCAACGTCTCTTAACAGGCATGCTGCCTGTTCTGTGTTTAGCAAGTCTGGGTATTCCTTCAGCCAAGAGTCCCTTAGAATTAGTTGTTTAGTAGATAAGTAACCCAACTTCCATAGGCAGACGACAGTGACTCCAACATTATTGTCCAATTTCAGGCCCAGCAAGCATGCTTTGGGGCACACTGGGAAATTAACATTGAATAAACTCTGACATGAGAGATATTGCTTCTAGCTGTTTCTTAACAACACATTGCGGTGTTTCCAAGTGACATTGGAGTCCCCCAAAATATTTTTTAAAGCCGAAACATGATCTTTCCCCACCCATAACCAAGTGGCTTTTGTGCCTAGTTGAGAAACCTTAAGTTTCAATATATCCACACAAATACAAGGTACCCATGGTTTGCAGAGATGTACATTGCCAACACTTTACTTTTCTAGCAACTGCATTGGAACTTGTGTATTTAGCATTTAAGCCTGTAAAACAAACCTGGGCTGAATAATAGTTGCAAATAATCTCCAGCGTTCGTGTTTACATTGGGACTTTCTACGGTAAATGTCAATGGAGTTGCAGCTTTCTTGCCATTCCACTGTTGTCCTTTGAGTAATCAAAGAGCCTCAAAACCTGGCGTGTAAGCAGGCTAAAAATCAAACCGAGGTGTATGTTTCAAGACGCTATCATCCCTAATGGAACATTTGGCTCACAGCAAAGCACACAGCGTAAATTACTGTCACTAATGTAGTGTGTGTCATTTTTATGGAGCTCTGTAAAGGTACACTCCTGAGGACAGGTCCTTGGATTTCCTCACCCCTTTTGTTCCTCTGCTTACTCTTCAGCCCTCTTATCATCTCCAGCAAAGAGACTTTGGTTTCACTTATTTGACCTCTTACTGAGCCCTTCACATCAGGGCTGCAGTCAAAAGCACGAGTCAGGGCTAAGTAAAATCAAATTCTATAAACCAGTCCCGGAGATGTATTTCGAAGCCCTTAATTGCAAGCAAGTGTCTCAAAGTGTGTACAGAAAACCCAAACTAGAATCAGGGTAAGAACAAACGATAGTAAACTATATGCTATTCAAGACGACGGCAATAAACAGTATGTCTATCCAAACAATTGGAAACAGCAACCAACCAATTAATCAAAAGTTGGATAACCACACAGAAGTAAAGTCGAGTCACAAGAGTTTCGTGATGATTCAATCTGCCTCTGTTGTATCAGAACGAAGCAGGAAATGTTGGCCGAGCCAACGCAGGACAAATCAGAGTCAGGTTTGTTTGACTTGCTGCCATGTCTGCAGCATGTCGACGTCAATCACTGAGCGTTTCCTGCTACGCTCGTGGCTTGTAAATGTGTTGATAGGCTGAGTGGTAGTCATGCCTCGTTGAGATCTTTACACAAACTGGCTCCGAAAGTCTCTTGCTGAGCGTCTGTCTTATTAAAAAAAAAAAAACTTTGACCCTTCCAATTTTTTTGCTGACTCTTCCTTCCTGTGATTTCTATTTGTTCCATCCTCAGTATGTTCCTCCATTCCTTTTTGCATTTGGTTTCCTTGCAATGTGGGTGTCCTAGAATTGAATTATATGGCAATCCAAAATATAATCTGTGTTTTTCTTCAAACAGCAGTCGTGAGGACGGTCCCCATCTCCCCCACATCTGCTGCTCGTACGACGGACTACAGGATACCAGATGTTCTTTTGCAACCGCCCAAAATAAAGACAGACACATTCCGGAAGACCTCAAGTGGCAGCTCCCCGCAGACGAGGGCTGAAGCGGGGAGGACAGTTCCAAGGATTGACCTGAACCGATCACAAACTAAGACCCCCACATGGGGACGGATTCCAGGAATGAGCCTGAACCCAGCGCTCACAAAGGCAGAAACTAACCGGAGCGTCACAGCAGCAACACCAGTTGTGACCCAAACAAAGACTGATGCTTTGAGAAAAGGCCAAGGAAAACTTAACCCATCTTCAACTAACACTTTCAAGAACATCTCAAGAATTATACCAGACCAAGTAAAGCCTGATCAGCCCAAAATCAGCATCACTATTGCCAAGACCTCCACTGTAGCCCAACCATCAGGAAGTGCAGCTTCAGGTAAGATTTCAACAGTGTCCTCCAACTGTATTTATTTGTTCAGAAACTTTAATTTTTTTTTTGGGTTGTGTCTTTCAGGATCTGGTCAGTCTCTGGCTGTGAATGTGTCGGCGACGTGTGCCAGCAGGCCCTGCTTCCCCGGGGTTCAATGCATCAACCGCAGGCCGCCGCACGTCGGATATGTGTGTGGCCGCTGCCCGCCTGGCCTTCACGGCAACGGACGTGTGTGCATGAAGAACGCTAAGGAAGGTAAGGGACATCTGACACCTAGTTATGACATCTCCATTGGCATAAAAGGCAATCCGATTAAAAATAAAAGAACGCGTACATGAATTTTAACAAACATGAAGATCCAGATTTAATGCAAACATCTGTCAGTAATATGCACACTGTGGGTTACTTTAAAGATCTTTTATTCTGTTCTTATGATGTTCTGGTTTTCCTGATGTTGTTTTATGTGTTTTTCTTGGATGGAAGGAACGCCATTTATTACAGCGGATAAATCAATTTGAGTGGCTGGAGACGGCCTGGATGTAATAACCACCTTTGGTACTTGGCTTTTTGAGTCAGCGCCCGGCCGCAAAGTTTCGACAGAAGACTGCTGAACGTTGTTTTCTCACGAGGGGAGCAGAGGGTCCTAATTACTCAGAGGAGACAGAGTCATTCCAATTTAAACCTATTTACTGTGGATCGTGCTGATCTGGGAAGGCACAAAGCAGAACAAAGTGTTAATGCAGATGAGTCAAGAAGCCGCAAACAAGACATGGCTCGTTTAAATCAGTTTGCACTGCTTGGAGAGATGTTCTCAACTTTTTATTTGTTCCTCACGCTGATATTTAAACAGATTTCCTTCATCTCACACTTTCAACTTTATAATTATTCGCTATTTTTGCACAGCACACATGCACTTAACGCTAAACACTGTCTCAGCTGACTAAATTAAAAGCAAGAATCTTGTAAATTGCTTGTGTGTGGCCAGAGGCACTACTGTTTTCAACTCTCAGGTTGTCTGTCCGTCCATCCCATTCTAGTGAAGCTGATATCTCAAGAATGCATGGTGAATGTTTGTGCCAAATTTGAGGAAATTCCCTCAAGGTGTTACTGAGATGTCATGTTCACAAGAATGAGATGGACACAAGGTTACACAAGGTCAGGTTTGTGCCAAGTTTATTCCCTCCATGCATTAATTCTATAGTAAAGGCCAAAAACATGTTGTGTGAGGTCACACAAACATCCACTTTGATTCAGCGATTAACTCATTTGAAGTTTTTGGTCAGAGGTCATGGTCACTGTGACCTTGTATCCATCTCATGGTTGTGAACCGATATCTCAAGAACACTTTGAGAAATTTTTTAAATTCAAATTTGGCACAAACGTCCACTTGGACTTAACGATGAACCGATCTGTTTTTGGTGGTCGGTCAAAGGTCACTGTGACCTTCTCTGTCTCATTCTTTTGAACACAATATCTCAAGAAGTTCCTTGGGGGAATTTTTTAAATTTTGACACAAATATCCACTTAGACTCTGCGATGAACCGATTAGAATTTGGTGGTCGTAGGTCACTGTGACCCTGTTCGTCGTAACACAATATCTAAAGAACACCTTGTCCTCAACTTTGGCACAAATGTCAACTTGGAGTTAATTATGAACTGATTCGAAGTTGGTAGTCAAAGGTCAAGGTTACATCTCAAGAAAGTCTTGAGGGAATTTCCTCAAATTTAGCACAAACATCCACTTGAAATCAACAGTGAACTGATTAGCATTTGGTGGTCTAAGGTCAAGGTCATCGTCACCTTGTCTGTCACATTCTTGTGAAAGTGATATCTCAAGAACGCCTTGAGGGAATTTCCTCAAATTTTGCAAAAATGTTCACTTGGACTAAACAATGAATTGATTAGACTTTGGTGGTCATAGGTCAAAGATCAGTGTGACCGTGCATCTGTCTTATTCTTGTGGACACAATATCTCAAAAAGACCTGGAGGGAATTTCTTTAAATCTGACACAAACATCCACTTGGACTGAAGAATAAACTGATTAGAATTGGTGGTTGAAGGTCAAAGGTCACCGTGACCTCACAAAACGTGTTTTTGGGCTATAACGTAAGAATACACATGCTAATTATGACAAAGTTTTACACAAATGTCAAATGGGATATCATGGGAAAAAGATGACATTTTATATCCAAAAGGTCAAAGGTCAGCTTCACTGTGACATCATAATGTCCTATATTAAAACACTTTTCTGTCCATTATTTAACGTCATATCTCAGGAACAGAAAGGGAGACATTTGGCCAGATATGGAATCAGTGACTCTAATCTTGAAGCTGTGCTGATTGTATAGATCTTCTGTGCAGAAGTTCATCTTTCTTTTAAACTCATATGGAGAGGCTTTATTGAGGATGTACTGTATGCAGTGCACATCAGGTGCCACTGGGGGTCAGTGGTAGAACAGGCAGCTGAGCTTGCAAATATGGCGACTTCAAGTGGTGGGGATAACGTTAGGGGACTAATAACAACCAGCCCACAAAGGCAGAGAGAGATCGCAGGGACAAACAGCATATTTTAGGTCGGTAACGCTGCAGAAAAATTGCGTCATATACCGTATACTCCAGTGAATCTCACAGGAGTATGATATGAAAATATAAGTACTGCCCCAAGCCTAGTGGAGAAATCCAAAGCTCGACGAGCTAGCTATGGTTGCTAAACTGTGACTAGATAATAACTGTCTCGGGGGAGGGGTTAATTTGCCCGAGGCACTGATGTCACCTCCTGTCTTTCCTCAGCATCCAATCACCTTCCTCAGCAGCAGACAGTAAGCAAGACTGGCCGATCCCCCTATGGAAGCAGCAGCAAAGTCTCCCAGCTCCACCTGCCCAACCTGCCCACCAGGCACGGCATCAAACACCTGTCCTGGTCCGTCACCAGAGCGAACCGAGACAACGCACCACGCCAGGTTCCTGCTTCAGGGAGGGGAGGCGGGACGGGGAGGAGAGAGGCAGTCACTGTTGGTTCCAGAGATGTTCCCAGAACATCAGTCGGCGCCCTCAATACTCACATCACCCACCACAGTAGCAACCTCAGAACCGATGCCAGGACATACACCAGATCCAGCACGACTGTTTCCAGAGAGTTTACGGTTCCTCACGTGACGGTCTCCAAGGTGAGTTTTTGTACTGTGTCGTCTTGATGTTTAGGTAGCAAGAACATCCAATCACCTTCATTCTGTGTTTACTTCCCAGCAGTCTCAAGGAGCATTGACCAGTGTCACACCATCTAAGGTAACACTGCCCGCACCTCACGTATCCACTCAGTCTGGCAAAGTGGGGCATTCCAAACAGACAACCCAGCCCCAGCTTAACTCCGTGGTATCCACCCACGCCAAACCCTGGACCCCTCCAAGACATGCCTTCCCACTTACTGCAGCCCTCACCGCTCTGTCCTACTCGCTGTCTGAGTCAGAGTTCTCTGCAGATGGAGATGAGGGTGAGACGAGATCCGAAGGCCCAGATTTGCCGCAGGTGGTCCCGGCGTTGCCCCTCACAACACCGGCCAAGACGGCGTACAGCGCCCCGCTACAGAGAGCTACCTCCAACCAGCCGGGGTTTAGGAGAGGTACAACAGCAGACAAACATGCGACGACCTGTGCCGACCGGCCGTGCTTTCCTGGTGTCCCGTGTGAACCAACCGTGGACGAGGGTTTCCGCTGCGGGAGGTGTCCTGTGGGATACACCGGAGATGGACGAGCCTGTCGAGGTGAGGCTTCATGTCTTCAACAATGTCGTCAACACTTGATAATAGTGCAGAACATCCGTCACCTTTACACAGATTTAACATCTGCGCTGTCGGATATTCAAGCTGTTTGCAGGCATACATGTGGCAGGAACATGGAGTGTGCTCGGCCCAACACGTGCCGCTGCAAACCAGGCTACACTGGATCTGACTGTCAGACAGGTAAACACATAAATGGCTTATATTGTAGATATTACTTCTCTCTGGGTTGTCATATCGATGTTTTAATTTGTTATTTTTGTTTATCCATATTTTCTCAGCAATCTGTGAGCCAGACTGTGTGAACGGGGGAGTGTGCATTGCTCCGGGTGTGTGTCAGTGTCCCAGAGGGTTTCATGGAGAAACCTGTCAGGAAGGTAAAGCTAGCCTCATTTTCCCAGTTACTCTTCAGCACACTGGTTTTCAAAATAAGTCTACAAACATCTAAATTTTCCCATAATATTACAAATTAATTTCAGAAAGAAATAGTTTAATAATTTTCTTAAAATATATGTTTTTTTCTACTTTCAAAACAAGATGACATCACATCGCAATTGATTTCTTATATGGTCTTCTGCTCAAGGCATGCTACTGCAAGTGTTTACAGTATGGCTACATATAGCTACATGCTAACATCAGGGAAACGTTGCCAGTTTTGTAAATTTCTCCCTGATTTCGGATCAGATTCTTTATGCAACATGTCCAGTTGTGAAGATTTTGGTTTAGAAGATTTTACTGGCAATTTATTACGACAGAAAGTGCTGCTATACTCCGGCTTTATGCACACCGCTACTTGTAGCTACATGCTAACATCAGAGAAAGATCTCGGTTTCCAACATGTCTTGCTATGAAGACTTTGGTTTTGAAGGTTTTATTGGTCATTTTTCACGGTAGAACGTGTCGCTATACTCCGTGCTATCCTCCGACTGCAAGTGCACTGCTACATATAGCTACATGCTAAGGTCAGGACAATATACTAACTTAGTGACCAGTTTTGTAAATTTCTCCCTGATTTTGGATCAGATTCTTTTTGGAACATGTCCAGTTGTGAAGATTTTGGTTTCAAGAATTTTACTGACAATTTATTACGATAGAAAGTGTTGCTATAGTCCGGCTTTAAGCACACCGCTACTTGTAGCTACATGCTAACATCAGAGAAAGATCTCGGTTTCCAACATGTCTTGCTATGAAGACTTTGGTTTTGAAGGTTTTATTGGTCATTTTTCACAGTAGAAAGTGCCGCTATACTCCATTACAGCCATTCCCCGACTGCAAGTGCACTTCTCCATTTAGCTACATGCTAACATCAGGGAAATGTGCAATCTTGGTTACAAATTTGTCAATTTCCACCTGATTTTGGATCAGTTTCCTTCTAGAACATGTCAAGTTGTGAAGGTTTTGGTTTAGAGGATTTTACTTGAAATTTATTACAACAGAAAGTGCTGCTTTACTCCAACTTTAAGCGCACTGCTACATGTAGCTACATGCTAACATCAGAGAGAGATGTTATATATATGGCTGATTTTGTTAATGTTTTTCTGATTTTAGTTCATATTCCCATTGGAACATGTCTGGTTGTGAAGATTTTGGTTTAGAGGCTTTTATTGGTGAATTTTCACAATAGAAAGTGCTGCTCTTCTAGTCATTTGCTTGCTGCAAGAACACTGGTACATGTAGCTACATGCTAACCTCAGGGAAACACGTAGTCTTGATTAGTGATTTTGGTCATTTCTCCCTGATTTTGGATCGGATTACTTCTGAAGAATTGGGTTTACAAGATTTTCCTAGCAATTCATCATGATAGAAAGTACTGCTGTACTCCGGCTTCAAGTACACTGCTACATGCTAACGTCAGAGATAGACGTAATCATGGTTGCTGTTTTTGATCATTCTTTTCTGATTTTGTAACAAACTCCTGCTGGAACATGTCTAGTTGTGAGGAGCTTGGTTTCGACGGTTTTATCTGGGATTTTTCACGGTAGAAAGTGCCACTATACTCCCTTAGAGTCATTCCCCGGTTGCAAGTGCACTGCTACATGTAGCTACATGCTAACAAAAGGGAAACCAGTAATCATGGTTGTTGATTTTCCCTGATTTTGGATCACATTCCTGCTGCAACATATTCTGTTGTGAAGATTTTACACTCATTCCTTGGTTGCAAGTACACTGCTACATGTAGCTACATGCTAACATCAGAGAAACATGCAATCTTGGTTACAAATTTTGTTAATTTCTACCTGATTTTGGATCAGTTTCCTTCTGAAACATGTCAAGTTGTGAATATTTTGGTTTAGAAGATTTTACTGGCAATTTATGACGATAGAAAGCGCTGCTAAACACTGGCTTCAAGTACACTGCCACATGTAGCTACATGCTAATGTCAGAGAAAGATGTAAACTTGGTTGTTGTTTCTAATTGAGTTTAGATAATATTGCAGTGGGGAAATGTCCAGTTGTGAAGAGTTTGGTTTAGAAGGTTTTAGTGGTAATTATTTTCACAGTAGAAAGTTCCACTATACTCCGTATCAGTCATTCCATGGCTGCAAGTGCACTGCTACATGTAGCTACGTGCTAACAAAAGGGAAACCAGTAATCATGGTTGTTGTTTCTCCCTGATTTTGGATCATATTCCTGCTGCAACACATCCTGTTGTGAAGATTTTAGTTAAGAAGCTTTTATTGGTGATTTTTCACGGTAGAAAGTGCCACTTCACAACTCAGTTACAGTCATAGGTAATCGATGATTATGATGGCTTACAAATAAACTGTTCTATAACTACTTGCAATGCATCTGTGCAGCTCTGTGCAGGTTACCATGTGAAAACGGAGGCACCTGTGTTGGACTGCAGACCTGTTCATGTCCGTACGGGTTCGTTGGACCTCGATGTGGGACCAGTGAGTTCAGTTACTGGGATCTTCTGTTTTCCATAGTCATTTAATTGTATTTACTTTCCAAAGCTCTAAGTATCATGATTGTGACGATACTGTTTTGTAGTGGTGTGTAGCCGTCACTGTCACAACGGGGGCCAGTGTGTGTCTCCAGATGAGTGCTTGTGTACGACAGGCTGGACCGGACTGTCCTGTGAGACCGGTGAGTGTGTTTTAGTGTGTGTGTGTGTGTGTGTGTGTGTACTGACCTCTCAGTGATGCTCTCCTCTCTCTCTCTCCAGCTCTCTGCTCTCCCGTGTGTCTCAACGGAGGTTCGTGTGTCCGGCCGAATGTTTGCGACTGTCCTCATGGTTTCTACGGAGCACAGTGTCAGAACGGTAACTTTACAACTTCAGCCGTCAGTCAATCAGGGAGTATCTCTGATCAGACAGAGTACGCTAACCCATCAGCTCTGTCAATATTTTCTTTATTCTCTGCCCTCGTCCAGCTGTCTGCAGCCCTCCCTGTAAGAACAGCGGTGTGTGTATAAGGAACAACGTCTGCTCCTGTCTGCACGGATACACCGGGAGTCGATGCGAGAAAAGTCAGTCTTCCTCCCTCCTTCGTATAGCATAATGATTTCCTAAAAATGTAATAAAAAGTTCACTCAAACTGAATGAAAATATAATGAAACCCAGTAATGTCATAAAACGTCCTGACTTATGATAAAACCTTTAAGGTGGGTCATTTTTATTCAACACTGATGATGGGAAGATGTGTGTGAAGCGTACATGTTTTCCACGAGTTGGTGATTCTAGTTCTTTGAAAATTAAAGTGTGCAAGTACAGAGAATGTATAGTGCTGTTACTGTCATGTTAGCCGACTGAAAACATGAACATCTGACACAGATTTTATTTTTTGGAAATGTAAACTCTTGGCATTACATAGAATCGGAAGTTTACAACAGATGGCAAGTAGTAGTATTACCTATTAAATTTTTTTTAAATATATTTTACATTTAAGTGATAAATATATTTTATGTAATATATTAAGTTG